TCAGATGTAAGACTTCAAATCTTGGTCTCCAATACTATAGTGCCCACCTGTAGCTAAGGGAGACAACAGCTATTGTTCTAAAATGATGGATAAATTTGTTTTCTCCCCTTATCTAGAAGCCTTTGAGAGGGAACAGACACTGATTCTAACCACTCCAATAGCTATCAAAATACCTGAAGGCAAATCCTAAATCCATCACTCCAGAGTTCAGCCTTGGCAGACAGAAAAATGAGGAACCCAATAGAGAGATGCTTTTGGAAGCCCTTGTCAAGAAATTCCAATGGACTGTCATATGAACATTTGAAAATTGCTCTGTTCTGACTTTTTTCTAGTTCCCTGTGTAGAACTTGTAATGCTAACTACTCTTGCCTTCTACTTCACATCTCCTATTCACCAGTCAAGGACTTTCTTTTCCCCCTACAGATAAGTTATGCAATTTGGGAGTCTTTTAGATAGACCCACTGAAGGAATACTCCAATTGTCTCACCCTCTGTCCCTGTTCAGCATGGAAGAAGCCAGTGGTCTGCATCCCAATTCCCTGTTGGCAATTTGGATATCCCCTTCAGAGGACGGCGTGATAAAGAGGTAGGAATTGGCTAGGCAGTTAGGGTAAAAAGACCCGAAAGAACCCTTTTAACCACCAACTACAGGGGCGAGGACAAGAAAAAAATAAGAAAAATAGCCTGTTTCTTGGCTAAAACTCACAATGTCCTTGGGCCTGTTAGCAACATACTCCATTCCAAAGGCCAAAAATGTCAGAAGTATTTGGGAGCTTTTATCTAAGCCTCAAAAGATTTTAGGGTTACCTCTTCAGAGGGGGGAATGTTAGAGTAGCAGAAAAAAACCCATAAAAAATAAATAAGTAAAAGAATACATGGACTTATCAGAAAAAAGTGATGGGGCAGTATGGGAGGAGTTGGAGGGGAGAGAGTGGGCATGATTTGATCAAAACACCTTATATGCATGTATAAAACTCTCAATAAATTATTTTTAAAAATTTTTTCAGCCAGAAAAAAAAAAGAGTATCATATATACAATAAACACTCAACTGTTCAATGAGTTGCCAGAGTGCATGAACACTCGGCCTCTCTGACTGCTGTACGGTCAGCACACATAGTTAATACTCATTTGCTGAATGGCATATTAAATGAATAAACATCAGTGTGTCTTCATGCTCTTAGAAAGGCAAGATTCTACAACATCCAGCAAATGCTGATCATTATTTGGACACAGTGATCCTCAGCACAAGCCACTTTTGCTTCTCTGTCATTACTATGTTAACAAGCTTTAACAATCAATCTCAAGGAAATAACAGAAACTGTACAGTGATTAATAGATTTATTTATTCAAGAATACAGAGTCATCCTTGCCAAACTCAGTAAGAGAGGTTAAATGTTCGGTCCAATTTTCCTTCCTGGATAAGTTTTTCTTTTCTTTCCTGTATAGATAAAAACAAACAAAAATCAATGCATTCTGGTACAACCTATAGGTATAACTCTGAAAATCAGAACCAAACACTCCAAATTTAACTGCAATCCCATCATCTAAGGCCCAAATTCTCTGAAGGAATTTAAGAAGGAAGTAAAGAGCCAGGCGTGGTGGCGCACACCTTTAGTTCCAGCACTCGGGAGGCAGAGGCAGGTGGATCTTTGTGAGTTTGAGGCCAGCCTGGTCTATACACTGAGTTCCAGATCAGCTGGGGCTATGAGATCCACCTGCCTTTGCTGGTGCCACCACATCCAGATTGTTTTGTCCTTTTTTTTTCTTTTAAGATTGTCTCACTTTCCATCCCTGGCTGTCCTTGAACTCAGTGTTGTATCCCAGCTGTCCTCAAACTCATGGTGATCATCCTGCTTCAGCTTCTTCAGTGATTGGATTACAGGTATGAGCCACTATATCTGGCTTCAAAAGCAGACACTGAAAGTAAACACAAACAACCTCTGGAAAAGTACAGCCAACTCATCAGATAACCAAAAGACAAGGGCTTGAGCAGAAAAGCAGAGGTGCCACTTATGCTAAAGATGGTGAGTGGCCTCCAGTCTAGATGTCAGCACAGCACCCAGGCTGCCCCAGAAGTAGCCTTCTTTGTGATCGTACTTACAAAGCCAGACCTCTGATAACAGTGATTCCCAGACTACTTCTGCTTTAGAGTGTATGTTTGAACAGCAATCCACAAATATAACCAACATAACTAGAATCAATGTGGCAGACACCATGCTAAATGATTTATATATTCTACTAATACTTGACTCCCAAAACATCAGCTCTAACAAATGAACAAAGAAAACTAAATAAAAATTTCACCATGACAGTACCTGAAGGTGAATCACAAAACAATAGTTCAGTTTTAAGCCAGTGTGCTGCTCATTTCTGTGATTCTAGCACTGAGGCTGGGGCAGAAGGATCTCAGATTTGAGGCTACCCTAGCCTACATAGTGACAGTCTCAATTTTGTCTTTAAAACAAAAAACAAACAAAAAAGCCTTTGAAAAAGACACGAAAAGTCTTTCATGAGTTAAGTTCTAATAATTAGAACTTATAATTTTTTTTTTTTTTTTTTGTCTTTTGAGACAGGGTCCCCCTGTAGCCCCAGCTGGTCTGGAACTCACTCTGTAGACCAGAGTGGCCTCAAACTCAGATCCCACCTGCGTCTGCCTCCCACGTGTTGGGATTAAAGGCATGCACCACCTCCACACCTGGCCTTCTAATCTTATAAATTTAAACTGATCATTTTATTATTTTTTTATTGTAGAACAGCCAAATTAACTCTGAAAGACTCAGATGTTACCATGATTTTTAACAATGTACAAGATCAAACTGAAAATTCTTTAATTCTTCCTGGAAAGGAGAAAGTATACAAGAAGAGAAAAAGGGAAGGAAATGTTCAGGTAAAGACACTGGTAGCAATCACCAAGTGAAGGGGCAGCAGCTGGCACTTCTGAGGGACCCCCTACCCCACCAATTACACCAACCTAAGCATTTGGTCCTAATACTTACCCTATCTATTTTGAAAATGTAATACCAGAAGATGAGGGGCCCAATTCCCACCACAGCCCCTAAAAGTGAGTTCTTGGGAGTGGGTCTGAAATTAGGATAGACATTTGCTGATCTTGCATATGTCCAACGAGTCAGGGCAGGATCATCCTAAAATTAATGAAAACAAAAAGTTATCAATGTTAAGAAGGGACATACAAATCCATTAGGACTTTTGTAAAGGCACACAGACGTCTACTGTCCTCTAGGTTAAGGTTACAGCTTGAATATTCTTGAATAGGCTCAGGGAGATCAGTTTCTAGCATTTTGTTGTATTTTTTTGAGACAGGATCACAGGTAGCTCAGGCTGGCCTGGAACTGGCTATGTAGCTAAGGATGACTTTGAACTTCTGACCTTCCAGTCTCCACCTCCCAAGTGTTGAGATTACAGGCTTGTGGCACCACTGTCACTCAACCAATCACTAGTATCAATTGACCCCTCTCTTTTTTTTTTTTTGGTTTTTGTTTTTGCTTTTATGAGAAAGGTCCTTGCTATATAGCACTGGCTAGCCCAAGCTAGCCTTGAACTTAAGGAAGGAAAAGGAAATGTTCAGGTAAAGACACTGGTAGCAATCACTAAGTGAAGGAGCAGCGGCTGGCACTTCTGAGGGACCCCCACCCCCACCAATCACACCAACCTGTGATTTTCTGTTTCAGCTTCCCAAGTGTTAGAATCATAGGCCTGTGCCATCATGTCAGGTCAAAACCTACTTTCTGGTGATTCTGTTCAAATCCTGCAGAATTTAAAAAAACAAACCTCTTTTCTCCCCCTTCAGCTTTCTATTTACTTAGGATTTAAGAATCCCAACTGTAAATTGCTAGAAAAGCCACCATTTCCCTGTATCACTTTCATCAACTTGTCTCTAGACTTGTTTTTACCTTCTTTATCTTCTTATCTGACCATTAAAACCACAGACCCAATGAAGGCGGATGGATGTCACATGTTCTGTCAAGCTTCAAGTTTTGCCTGCACAGCCCTTTTTAGTATTGGCCTTTCCAGGCTACAAGTTGCAGGAAGATGAAAGCAAACTGACTCACACTAACTCAGAACTACAATTTTCTGCTTTGTTTTGGTGCTGGGGAATCAAAGGAAGGACCTTATGTATTAACACCCTGAACTGTAAATTTCTAAAGCTAATATGGCTGATAGTTTAAAAGCAAAATTACTACATTTCACACTGTTAAAAGTCTTACAAAAGGGTCAAAATTGTTCGAGAAAAATTTTGGTTTGAAAAAAAAAGCAATGTAATAGATTTATAGAATACCTTCCTAAGAAAAGCAAATCTATCACAACCACATCATTAAATTTAATTAGCTAAATCCTCAAATGATTTTACAAAATTATTCCCTCCAATTAACTCAGATTAAAATGAGCAAATAAAATCAGCTTTAGTCTTTAATATGCAACATGAATGGTCAAAGTCCTAACCAACGCCAAAAAGTCATGATTGGCCGGATTAAAATAACCTAACTGCATCTGCCACATTTACATTTCAAACTAAACCGAATTATAGTGATTTGACCCTGAGACATCAGCAGCAGAGTAGAAGTGAAGAAACCTTGTGGTGGAAGCACCCTGCGACCTTTCAATCACGTTGAAATTCTTCAAGGGTGTGAGCATTCGCCACCAGTCTCAAGAGTCCAAAAATACCTTCTGGGGCTCTAGAAACTATGGATGTTATCATGAAAGAGTTCTGCAGCATTGTTTGTGCAAACAGAAACAGTGAAGACCGTAAGGACAGGACATTAAAGTCCAAGAAGACATTTTAGCTCAATATCTGAAAGGATAAATAAGTCTGCTTTTCTGCTAAAAAATTGTATTTGAATGTTACACAACAGCAGGTTTTTCCACCTGCCAGTCACCTTTCTATACTTTAATATCTTCCAGATCTGTATTCCAGAAATGGACATTGCATTTCACAAAGACACAAGCAGCTTCATGATCAAAACCATGGGAAACAGCTTTCCTTCTGACCCCACTCAATGTCCAACGGACTTTAAGCAGCATCTGGCATGATGAAGTCCTTAAAACTGTTTCTTCACTGGACTTTCTGCTTTCACCCCTCCCCCCCAGCTCTTCTAGTCTTTTCCTCCTATCTCACCAATCTCTTAATACTGGACCCCAGATCTGCTGGGCTTTCTTAGATTCACTATAGTAATGATGCCATCCACTCACATACCTTAAATAGCTCTCTATGGGCAGGTGAATACCAAAAATCTACCTCTAGCCCTAGACCGCCATGCTCAACTACAGATTTAGCATCTATCCACCTGTTTAACACACACCTACGGTCTGATAAGCACCCCCAAACGTCATTTATCCCACACTGATCTGACAATATTCCTTTCCATTCCACCACCATACCCGTTCCTCTCGCATTCTTCTTGGTAAAAGGCAACGCTGTTGAGCTTGGAGTCACCCTTGACTTTTCTTTTCCTACACCACATCCATCTGCCAGTAAACATGTCTGGCTCTACCACCAACATCTACTTAATACTCACCACTTCTTACCACCTCCACTACTGCCCTGGGTGCAACCACTAAGAGCTCTAACTGCTGTAAAAGCTCCTAACTCATGTCTCTTCTGCCCTTACTCCCTCATCTCCAATTCTCAACTAGGCAACCAGAGAGATTTCATTAAGATGTAAGTCCAGATTATGTAACTCCCTTCCCAGTAAAAGTCCTTACAATGACCTACAAGGCCTGGTGTGATGGCATCCCAGGCACCACCCTGACCTTGTTTATATCTCTCTGCTCTCCCCCTTCCCTATTTTACTCACAATGGTCTCTTCAATATATAGTGTATGTTTTAGGTGATCTCTCTATGGCCCAGAATGGCCCCAAACTCTCAATCCTCCTGCTTCAGCCTCCCGAGTGCTGGGATCACTAGTGTATTTTGAATTAGCTCTCCAGGATATCTTGAATTAGCTAGACAAACTCCGGCCCTTACTATTGCAGTCTTTCTAGCTAGCGTGCCATTTTCCTACATGAAGCTAGCTGCTCTGGTTCATTTCTTCTAGATCTATATTCCAACGTCATATTCCAAGGCTGAGGAGGTAGCACAGTGGTAGAGCACTTGCCTTGCATGTGAGGCCCTGAGTTCAATACAAAATATCACAAAACAAAAACAAAACACCCAATGTCATGTTCCAACCTGCCCTGTCACATACAGATTGCTAAATCCCCTTCCCTACCTTTACCATTTATTACTATCTCACATATTAAATGACTTAGATTTTTAACTTATTCATCATTGTCATCACCACCAGAAGAAAGTTCTATAAGGACAGGGAACAGCCTGCTTTGTACTGTTACCTCAGCATCTCAAATAGGCCCCTAATAGACCCTGAGCAATTATTACTGAATGAATCAGTCATTCTAAAGACAGAGCAAAGGGATTCACATGTACTGGCTGGTACTGTGCCACACACACACTTAATTAATGGAACAGCTAAGGAGGTGGGCATTTTTACCTTTATGTTACAGATGACAAAACTGAAACCACCCTGTCAGAGATAAAACACTGAAGATTGGGGGTTCAAACCTCACATCTGAGGCTTTGTTCCATTTATTTAAAAAATACTATCTAGCAATCAAAAGCAACCATGTGTCTATGTATGTAAAAGGCATCTTTCTTGTACCCAGTAAACAAGGTTCTAGATGGACCTAGTACAGCCAACTAGGTAAAAGGAGATGTTAAAGGTTACACAGAGCGGGGCTTGAATTCAGCTCTGTGACCTGCTACTGGGTGTATCTATATGCACAATCTATTCTTTCCATGTTATTTTCTCCTCTAGAAAAGTAGAATAGCGCTTACAAACGTTTTGCACTGTATCTGGCAGCATATTCCAGTTTCCCTTGGGTTCTGACAACTTTCCAAAACTTCAGAGAACAGGTTTGTAATTGCTGTGAGGTCTTCATTTTTATTAAAATCTCATTGAGACAGACAGCTTTTAGAGAAAACTGCACACTTGTTAAAATAAGTTTACTGGGGATATGTTATCTGCAGGTGATGTTACAGTTTCTCCTTTACTCTCACAATTCTGTGATGAATGCACATTAAGCTATGTTTTAGAAAGTTGAGGTAAGTTGCTCAAGTGTTCTAGTTTGCCATTATCCGTGGTGTCAGGAGGTTTTAGGGAAGCTGAACAATCACTATATCCCCATCAGAAGATGAATGTTTTTTTTAAATTTTTATGTTCCGGGTATATGAAGATTTGTTAAAGGTTATTCAGAGGCTAAATGAAACAGCTTTTTACGTTGAACACGCACACATCTTTGGGAGTAGGGGCCCCGTATTCACCCTCAACAAGGAAGGCACTGTGCAAGCCCAGTAACGTGTCTTATCTCGTTTACTCCTCGCCTCAGAATACAGGAACTTATTATGGCCATTTTTCAGATAATGAAGCCGAGGCTGAGCAGAGTTGAACTGTTTTCTCCAGATAGCCCGGGGGGATGTGGTCAAGCCTGGTACTCAAGCCCGGCAAAGCCCACCAAGCTCTCTGGCCAAGGCCAGGAGTAAGGAGCGGCCTGCCCTCCAAGGGGCCGGTGTCCGGCGTGAGGCCCGCCCAGCGCCCTGCGCGGTGCCCACCAGGACCGGCAGCCGGCTCGCAGGGACCGCCCAGGCCCGGGCCCACAGCCCTGCCCAGCCCCACTCACGATGTGCACTCGACGCTTGGGGTCGTTGTACTGAAGCAGATACTCCCGCTTAAGCCTGGCCCGAATACTCAACCGCTCGGCTTGCGCCTTCCGGACCTCCGGAGACACGTCGTACTCCGCGGGGTCGAGGGAACTTGGGAGAGTAGCCAGGGGCGCCGGCTTATACTTGGAACCCGACATCTTGGCGCCCTGGCGCACAATTGTGCATGCGCGGCGCTGAGGCCCTGCGCTCTCTTTTCTGACCTTCGGCCTCAGGAAGTGCGCCTGCGCATTAGGAGAGATCAGAGCTAGAGGTGGAGTTTGGAGTTCAAGCTTATACAGACGCTAGAACCGCATTTCGGTCGTGCGTTTGCGTCTGCGCACTACACTTTGCTCGCCTCCTCTCCTCTCCCCTGCCCCTCCCTCACTCATCGCTTCTTGCTGCTGCTGCTTGCTTGCAGAGCTTGCATCTCCCTTTGCTGCTGCTGCTGCTTGCTTGTTTCCCGAGGTTGAGGCTGTGAGAGACTAGCGGAGACTGGGACTATAGAGATTGGCCATGCCTTCTGAAATCGCGCTGTGACCTTGGGAAAGGTCATTTCGTGTTCCTTCGTTTCCTTTTTCTTACCCTGCAGAAACGACGCCTGTCCTGTACACCTGGTAAAGTTGTGAGGTTTAAATAAACCAATGATATTTGCAAACATAATCCCCTAGTGCTCCCCACCCCTAATAAAAGAAAATGAGCTTTTCTGCACATTGGATCCAGTCCAGGTTAGGATAAGCATATTTGCCGTAGGCAAGAAATAATGTTTAATAGAATAGTGTTACAGAGCAAGTGTGACTTGACTGTAGGTCAGAAAAGAATGAAGTAGTGAATAGAACTTATGAAGAAATATCTGTTAAAAAACTAAACAACAAAAAAACCTCTTAAACCCGGAACAACTCTTCAGATGCTAAAACCAAAAGACGGTTTTACAGATCTGAAAGTACACAACTGGGCCTTGGCACGTACCTGTACCCAACACTTGGAAAGCTAAGACAGGACCATTATGAGTTCAAGGCCAGTCAGAGATACATGGCAAATCTCTGCCCGCCCCCCCCCCCCGAAAAGAGATGATATTGGCTGGCACGTGTAACCTTCAGCATCTCTATAGCCCTTCCCCTCTCTTCTCACTATCGCTAAAGGGAAAAGGCAACTTCAAGTTACACAGTAAGGACTTTAAGTCCCAGTAAGATACTCCTCAGGAGGGAAAAACGGAAACAATATTGCTTAACTCCAGCAAGGAAAGCTAAATTCAGAAAGGCATGTAGGTATGTGGGGAAATGGTTGCTAGGCAGAAGCAGGGCCTAGAAAGTGTTGGCACTTGAAGTGGGGCGGAGCAGCACTGCTGTCAAATTTATTCAACACTCTAATACTGTTTTAAAATATTAAGCACCTGCTGCATGAAGTATACCTTACACTACTCAGTCTTAGTCAATCTGCTAGGCTTTGTGGAGAAAATACAGAGAAATGGAAGCTGGGTGTTTAAGGTTTTTTTGGGGGGGGGCTGTTCCCTAGTAGCTGACAATTATGCAGTACAGAAAAAACAGGCAGAACAAGATATTTTCAAAGTAGATCAATGTATGAATAGAAAGCAAAGCTGACTCATGAGAAAGAGGGCTACATGAAGGTAGAAAAAATAAATCAGAAACAAATCACTCACTCTCAACTTTAAAGGAGAGAGAGACAGGAAGAGAAAGAGAGGTGTTCTGGTTTGTCAGAGATGCTTTGAAATATTAAGAAAACAAAACATGTAAAACAGGTACAAGATGTAAAATTCTAAAATTTCAAAAACCTTTTAAGACACTGATATAGGGACTAGAGAGATGACTCAGTAGTTAAGAGCACTGGCTGCTCTTGCAGAAGCCAGGGGTTTGGTTTCCAACATCCATATGGAGGCCAACAACCATCTGTAACTCCAGTTGCAGGGGATCCAACACCCTCTTCTGGCTTCCTTGGGCATTGCATGTGTGGTGCACTTACATCAAGCACACAAAACACATAAATTAAAAATAAAGTATTTTTTTTATAAAAAGACCATCGATGGTAGGAAGAGTATGGTAAAAAGAACAAAGAAATGAACACAAGGTATCCATGAGTACAAGTCAGCTGACAAAGTTGAAATATTTACTAAATATTTACTAAATATTTACTAAAATGAAATATTAACATAAGTTTAAGTGGATATTCCTGTACTCTCTAATTATCATAAGTGATTTGGGATGATGATTAAAAATACGGAGTTTGGGGGCTGGAGAGATGGCTCAGTGGTTAAGAACACTGGTTGTTCTTGCAAAAGATCTGGGTTCGAATCCCAGCACCCACATGGCAGCTAACAACTGTCCATAACTCCAGTTCCAGAGGACCTGACAGCCTCTTCTGTCCTCCACAGGCATTGCATGACATGGGTGCACTTACATACATGCAGGCAATACACGCATACACATAAAAATAAAATATTTTTAAAAAAATATGGAGTTTAGGGGCTGGAGAGATGGCTCAGTGGTTAAGATCACTGGCTGCTTTTACAGAGGACCTGGGTTCAATTCCCAGTACCCACACAGCAGCTAACAACTATCTGTAGCTCCAGTTCCAGATCTGATGCCCTCTTCTGACTTCTGTGGGCATTGCACAACATGGGTGTACTTATATACATGCAGGCAAAACACTCATACACATAAAATAAAAATAGTAAATTTATTTTTTAAAAAATACACAATTTGGTTTTATTTTATAGGCACTTTATTGAGTGTTTACTGTATATCAGCTGTTGTTCTTCTTTACATAGTTCAATTCCTCAAATTCTGACTGTTTCCATTTCAGTTTATTAACTGTATATATAATGAGTTTCTGCATTAGTCACTTTTCTGTTGCTGTGATAGAAACACTGAGCAAAACAACTTATAAAAGGAAGAATTTATTTGAGCTTATGGTTCCAGGGGAATTACAGTCCATCTTGGCAGGGAGACATGGTGTCAGAGGTGACTGGAGGAAAAGCGGAAGCTAAGCTCTCACATCACCACGCAGGCACAGGAAGCAAGAGACTGACTGGAGATCTGGCAAGGCTTAAGAACTCTCTAAGCCCACCCCCAGTGACATGCTTCCTCCAGGAAAACCACACCTCCTAAAACCTCCCAAAACAGCGCCATCATCTGGGGACAAAATGTCCAAACACTTGGCGCCTATGGGGGACATTTTCATTCAAACGACCACAGTTTCACTATGACATTTTCACACATGCATACAATGTATTTCATCATAGTCACTCCATTATCCTCTCTTGTCCTAGTCCCACTCCCATTGATCCCCTTCCTCTTCCCAACTCACCCCCTTCTGCTTTCATGTCTTCTTTGTTGGTGTCCAATGAGTTTAATTAGGGTTGCTTACAGGAACACAGGTGAGGGATTATTTACAAGAAAATGGGCAACTTATTAGTGGCTACAACACTGAAGAAAATGTCTAATCTTCCCTCAGCAGCCATTAACTGCCTATAGCTCATCTGGGAGAAGTAGTGGGCTTCATGAGTCATCTCCTTCCCCCAGCAATGGTTAACTGTCTTACTTTGTTTTAGTCCAAAATTGCCTCTGCTACTTTGTTCCTCTTCTCTTTCAGATGAAATTTAGAACTAAGTTATCAAGTTCCATGAAAAAGAATCCATTGAGATTTGTATTGGAACAGAATTAAATTCATAGGTTGATTTGGGAAAACAGACACTCGCTACTTTGTATTTTCCTATCAATGCCCTTTAGTTCAGTCTTCTTTTATACCCTTAAATCATGTTTTGTGATGTTTCCCATAAAGAATCATCACCTCTTCTGTTGGGTTAATTCCTGTTACATTATAGTTTTATTGCTAATGTTTCTTTTTCTTCCACATATTCTAATTAGTTCTTGCCAGAATGTGTAATATAATTGATTTCTGTATACTGTTTTTGGAACCGGCATCCACTGTATTAGTCACATTTCTGTTGCTCTGATAAAACACTGAGACCAAGGCAACTTACAGAAGAAAGAGTTTATTTGAGCTTATGGTTCAGAGGGTTAGAGTCCATAATGGCAGGGGAGACATGGAGGCAGAAGTAGCCTGAGCAGAAAAAGCTAAGTAATCACTTCTTCAAGTAGGCACAGGAAGCAGAGGGCAACTGGAAATCTGACAAGGCTTAAGAACTTGCAAGGCCTGCCCTCAGTGACATGCTTCCTCCAGCAAGGCCACACCTCCTAAAAAAAACCTCCCCAAATGGCGCCACCAACAGGGGACAAAATGTCCAAATAGTTGGAGCTTATGGGGGACATTCTCATTCCAACCACCACAAAGGTTTTATCAGTCTTGTTAGTTTTTCTATGCCTTCTTTTGGATTTCTCTGTGTAGTCAGTTAGATCTTATATAAAAAGCAGTCTTGCTTCTTTGTTACCAACAATGCTTACTTTTTCTCTCTTCTATTACTTTAGCTACTACCTCCAGTGTAATGTGGTGTGATAGCAGAAATGGACAGTCTCTCATAGTGTTCCCAGCTCTAAGAGGAAATCCTCAGTTAGTTCATCATTAAATATGTTTCCTGGAGTTTGGCACAGCCCTTTGTCAAGTTAAGAAATTTCCTTTTGTATTTCTTACCAAAACAGCCTTTTAAATCATGAATGAATATATTGCTAATCAATTGCTATTTCTACATCATCTTTTTTTTCCCTCTTTATTAGTATATTAAAAAGACAGAAAACCTTACTCTCTTGGTTGTTCCAATACAGAGCTGTTTTACATTGCAGAATTAAACCAACTCCATGACCATTCTGTGTGTTTCTTGATATACTTATAAGTTAAATTAACATTTTACTTTTACCATTTATGTTCATAGATGAGTTAAATCTATAATTTATTTGTCTTATTCTGTTCTTGCTAATTTTGAGTATATTTACATGAAATAGTTTGATGTTTCTTTTGTAAGATTTATTTATTTATGTAGTGTGTGTGTGTGCCTGAGTATGTGCACCACATGTATGCAGGTACCCATTGAGGTCAGAAGAGACTGTCAGATTCCCAGAAGCTGGAGTTACAGGTGGTCATGAGCTGCCCAATGTGAGTTCTGAGAAATGAACTTGGGTTCTCTGCAAGAACAGCATCAAGTGCTCTTACCCACTGAACCATCTCTTCAGCCCCAATTTCTATTTTTATTATATTTTTATTATATTTTTAACTCTCCAAACAGTTTGTTAAGTGCTATCCTTAATTTGGTGAATTATGTTGCATTACT